TATAGTATTAAAACTATCCCTCTGATTTCTTATGATGTTATTAATACATCTGGCTGAGTGGAAAGTCCACCACATTAAATTAACATCTTAATTTAGCTATTGCTTGGAGGCAAATTAATGAATAGATGTTTTACTAAATCCTGCATAAATTACCATTCATGTTTATTGTTCCTTTGACAATGTTACATCTCTGCCTTATAGTTTTATATTTGTTAGCAGTATAAAGTTTTAAAAAGGAGGTACAGGAAGATTGATCAACTGTTGTTATTTTATCCAAGATTAACACAGCTGGGTTTGACTCTGCCTAACCTAAATTAACCCAATGTTATCCTAACCTAAAACTTGGGAATATGCTTACTCGGAAGAATTGGCAGGACCCTCCCCCCCTCTACATATACAGAATGGTCTTTGATTCAAGGGTTCATATAGTCCTATTGGTCGGGGATAAGATGGTATATATATTCACCCTCCCCCTAGCAGCATTTTAGAAGCTGTTGGTCCTAGACAAATCAAAAGTATATAATTCACTAGGCGGCACTAGTGAATGTACATGTTATGTTAAAGTGCCCTGTTATTTATAACAATTAGTAATCAATATTTTCTATGATGTAACCCATTAAAGGTCAGATTTACATAATTTGTCTAATGTAATGAGGTTATATTATGAACTGTAAAATTCAGAAGTTACCAATTTAGATAATTCACAACTATAAGCCAGAAGCTGACCCATCTTGAAAAAGACGATGGCGACTGATAATGGAAGGAGCAGTGGCCAAGGTGGGAGGTGGGAAATGAGCTCTCATTTTGCCAAGACATTCTGCCTTGGTTGGGTAACTTGTTTCATTGGTTGTGGGGCAAAACTTTAATAATAACTTGGACAGCTATGATTTCTGATTTATCTAAACTGAATATTGCCTCTAAGGTCAAATTTTCTCTAACCTGGTTCTTGACCAAAGATCAGAGAAGATCCTTATCAATGCTGTCAACTGATGGAGCCCGGCTTACACTGGCTGCCTATGGACATCTGCTCTTTTCTATCTAAAGCACTGTGTTGCCAATTTTCAGGGAAAGCCTGTATACAAATATATATATATATATATATATATATATATATATATATATATATATATATATATATATATATATATATATATACATATATATATATATATATATATATATATATATATATATAGAGAGAGAGAGAGAGAGAGAGAGAGAGAGAGAGAGAGAGAGAGAGAGATTGATAGATAGATATAGATATTTATATAGTTGTTACTCTCTCTCTCTCTTATATATATATATATATATATATATATATATATATATATATATATATATATATATATATATATATATATATATCTGTGTGTGTGTGTGTGTGTGTGTGTGTGTGTGTGTGTGTGTGTGTGTGTGTGTGTGTGTGTGTGTGTGTGTGTGTGTGTGTGTGTGTGTATGTGTGTGTGTGTTTGTGTGTACCTATGCATATGCATTTACACACATATGCATCGAAAGGATCAAAATGTCCGACCCAAGGGACATTGTGGACCATTCCATTTTATTTTTCAGTCAAAACTGAGCATGATGGAGAAAATTATATTATTAAATATTTGAAGCCAAATATTCAAATTTCATTTTGGTATATCATGGTATTCTGATATTTCATTATTTTGAAAGACCACAAACGCCAAACGCAGTTTGCATACAAAGGAAGTGTCAGATTCAGTATACTAAATTTTTTGTGACTAGAGGGAGGGAGAATGGCTGAGCAGAAATGGCTAAAGAGGCAGTTAGGGTTGCTGCTTGGCATGTTAGTGTGTAAGAGTAGATTACTGTAGTCTGATTGGTCTTATCTGCCTGTTTGTCTCTTTCTCTCTCTCTCTCTCTCTCTCTCTCTCTCTCTCTCTCTCTCTCTCTCTCTCTCTCTCTCTCTCTCTCTCTCTCTCTCTCTCTCTCTCTCTCTCTCTCTCCACCACACCACAAAGACAAACACACACAGATATATATCTGAGTACTTGTGCACAGTCTGAATTTCCAAAACTACTATATTTACAAGATAGGCAGAAATAGTTATCTAGCAACCAATTAGAACCACTCTTACACAGACCTTCTAAACAGGATGGCCATGCTTACACTGTAAACATTTCTTAGTGGGAGGTGGATGATTGACCTGGAGATATAAATTGCAGGGGAAAGTGAATACATAGATCTGAAAAAAAAAAATTCTGGATTAAATACAGGAAAGATCTGGAAGTTTTCTCTTTTTTTTTTTTTTACTTTATGGATTATAAAGGTAGTAAATATGGCAGTAAATTCTTTAAAAATACACTGTATTTCTTCATAGAAACATTAGCAGGCTCTTGTGTAGTCTTACTTTCTTCTTGCTCTGATTTCCAATATGTGTGAAGAACATACCTTTTATACTGCATTGTCCTTGTTATTACTCAAGACTGGTAAGCATTGATTTTCAGTCAATCAATCATCAATCATTTGGAGCATACGCTGGCAGGGGCACATAGCCGCATCCACCCTTCGCTTCCACCTGCGAGGGTCTGTTATGGCGAGCCGCCAGGCAGAGGCCCGGCCCATCTCTAGTTCCTCACAACAGGTTTGATCGATCTGCCCAAGCCACGACCTTCTTGGTCATCCCACAGGCCTCCTCCACCCCAGGTTGTCTTGGACAGAGACAACCCGGTGGACAGGGTCATCCTGCGGGAGTCGAGCCAAGTGGTCGTATAGCCTGAGTTGGCGATTGGATTGTGCAAGTAACAAGTCCTGTGCCGGTCTCACGGTGCAACCGTTGGTTGGACATATGGTCCTGCCAACTGTACCCCATGATCCTGTGCAAGGATCTATTACAAAAGGCATTAAGACGAGATTCCAAGGCACAAGATAGCATCCAGGTTTCACTACCATATAGTAAAACTGGCAGTATCAGGGCCTTGAAAACACGTAACTTGGTCCTTCTGCACAGGTACTGGTATCTCCAAATACTCTTGTCGAGAGATTTCATGACCCCTGCTGCCAGGCCAATCCGTCTACTGACTTCCTGGTCTGACAGCCCAGAGTCATGGACTGCACTACCGAGGTATATAAAGCTCTTGGTAACTTCGATGTTTTCGCCGCAAGCATGTACTGACTGCACAGGGCCTCCTAGTAGGCCTCCAAAATCCTGGATCTTGGTCCAGGACACCTCTAGCCTCAGGGGCTTCGCTTCATTGCTAAATGCATCAAGAGCCGCCACTAGGGTTTCCAGAGATTCATATAGAATGGCAACATCATCAGCAAAGTCAAGGTCAGTAACCTTGATATTGCCCAGAGTTGCTCCACAGTCACTTTGGATAGTAGCTCTACCCAGTATCCAATCCATGCAAGTGCTGAAAAGTGTTAGTGCAAGAACACAGCCTTACCTCACCCCTGAACTAACAAGGAAGAAGTTGGCAGGCCCCCACCACACTTTACAGCACTTTCAGTGCCTGTATACAGGTTTGCTATTGATCCAACAATCCTTGTTGGAATTCCTCTTAGCCTCAGGATCTCCCAGAGTGATTCGTGATGCACTGTATCAAACGCCTTTTTAAGGTCGATGAAGGCTGCAAGCAGCCCACGACCGAACTCACGACGGCGCTCTAGAATGACTCGAAGCGCTAGGATGTGGTCTATTGTGGACTTACCAGGAGTGAATCCCAATTGCTCTGGCCTTTGGTACCTCAGTAAGATGTGTACGAGTGCCTTGCCTGGTATACTGAGCAGTGTAGTGCCTCGGTGATTGCTGCAGTCCCACCGATCCCCTTTCCCCTTCCAGAGAGGGATGACCACACCCCTCAGCAGGTCAGGGGGAATGGTACCGGTCTGCCAGATGGCAGATAGGACTGCATGCAAGCCCCTTGCCATAGGTTCTCCACCAGCTTTTAACAATTCAGCTGGGATGCCACAAACACCTGCTGCTTTTCCACTCTTCAGCCTGGAGATTGCCCCCCTTCAGTCTTCAGTCAGGGAGGGTGGATCCTCGCTGATGGGTGGGTCAAGCAGAGGGATCTCGACATTCCCTGCATCCATGTTAACTGTTGGTGGATCAACCTGATACAACTGCTCAAAATACTAAGCCCAACACACATGCACCCCATCAGGATCTGAGATTATCTGGCCATTTGCTGAGAGAACTGCAGTCATCTGTGAGGAGGGCTTGGAGTTCAACTTTCTTAGGGCTTGGTAGGCAGGGCAAAGGTCATTTACTAAGAAATGGCTTTCGACTTCCTCTTCAAGATTCCTGATAAACTGTTCCTTATCCCTTCTCAACAGTGTCCTAGTCCTATGCCCCAGAGAATGATGCATGTTGTGATCCCCTGACAATTGAGCCGCATGACAAGCATATGTGGCTTCCAGTGTCTCCTGCGAGATGGAATTCTGTCTTGCTCTTGGGCGTTCACCAATCGAATCATGGGCTGCATCAAGCGTTTCACGCTTGAAGGTGTCCCACAGAAGGACAGGGTCTGTCAAGCCCTCAAGTGCTGTGAAACAAACAGAGATAGCCTCAGCAAACCCCCGGGCACACTCATCCTCCCTCAATCTGTCCAAGTGAAACGCCCTAGGGTGTTCACTTGGGCGACGGGGCATTGATTTTGATTGGAAGAAATTTTGATTTTTCTTTTAATATATATATGTGTGTGTGTGTGTGTGTGTGTGTATGTGTGTGTTTTCTTGGGGTAACTTTTATTATATTCCAGTGGTCTGAAACCTATATTGCCATCAGGTGTATTAGCAATCTAGTTACTGCTGGGGCTGGTTTGTGCCAGCTGTTGAAAGTACATTTTGTTTATTGTATGTTGTTTTACTATTGCTATTTTTTGCATAATTAAAAATGATGAATTATGTATATTAATACCAAAAAACATATTTATAAAAAAAACAAAACCCTTTTGACTGTCTTTGCAAAGAATTCTGTAATAATTCTTCAGTTATGACAGATATAAATCTATGGAAGTGAAAAAAAGACTGCATATTACACTCACTTTATTGGTCTTTTTATTAACTCCTTTATATCCAATATAATGACTGGCAGAGTAAAGAGCGTCAGTCTACATAGAGGCTGTCAGCACCTTACTCAGGGACACACACAGTAGGAACAGTAAGCTATGATCTAAATCACAAAGTAATCTTCCATGACCAGGCTCTGGTGCAGTTTAACATGTATCTGTTAACTAAATTTTTTGTCAAATGTACAGTTCTCTCTTGATCACAGCACGTGTTGCATGATCAAGCGCATTGCCGGAAAACATCATCACACACTGCTACCAAGTGATAACACTGAAACCCATCTGAAAATCCATTTATGAAATACACTTTTATATGTACTGTAATAATCATAAACATTATAGTTTTATAATGAAAACTCTCCATGAGTAAGTTAACTCAACACACACATACCCAGTTGCTGCACTCAGCCTAGACAGACTTAAGCCATGAGGTACACAGTTCTAACAAATTCTATCTGTACAAATATTTACATAAAAAAATGCTTTTTACATGCCATTAATTCTTTGGAAGGGTGATTAAAAAAATGGCTTGTGTGATATGCCGATGACATCTGCAACTTTCATTCACAACCTAACAACGGCCTTTTGCAGAGATCACTAGGGCTGTATCACACAAACTGCAGTATTACATACAAAACTATTTGGTGATGTGTGAAGATCTATGATGGTCATTAGCATACAAATTTCAAGCACACTTGAATATTAAATGCTCCAAGGATTCACTGAAAAACCCTTACAATGAGAAAATTATTATTACCAGAGCTTACCAGAGCTAAAACAAAGCACAGTCTACTCACAACTAGCTGCTTATGCTTTGTATATTGTCACTGCACCCAAGAACACGTGGGAATGTCCACAATACTGACAGGCCATGACCAAGGGCATGGGGTAACGATGGGTCAATAGGTGACTTCGCCTATGGATGATGCTTATTCTCCTTGAAGCATTTATGTACACCATCTTTCGAGTGTTACCCACGAAACTGCGTTACATTTCATCAACATTGCATTGATAATTTGCTTCAGCCCTTATTTTTGTTTTAACCTTTACCTTTAAATTACATTCTAAATTAAATTCACATGAATATTTGAAAGCCATCTTCTAAAATAAGATATTAAACACTGGCATGTGTTTACCTGAAAAATTCAATTGCTTTTATGCATATCTTACTTCTGTGCTTATTCAATTCATGCTAATGAGACTTGTAGGGGCAACCTTTCTGCTTACAGATATTACATTGCTTATAATAAGTAAATTAAATATTTGGTTCATTATAACTAATATTTTTATCTTCTATTTCACTTAATTTCCTGTTTGTCACTGGTTTCTTGTAGTTATTCATCTAACAAGTCCCTTAAAAAGTGTAAGATAAAATATAATTTTCACAGACAAAAAATAAGAAATCATAAAAAAACACAAAAAACTTTGGATATGGCATCCTAAACAGTCAACTGATATATAGTTCATAGTCTATAAATACGGAAGTAAAACAAAAAGCAAAATAAAATAGAATAAAAGTATCTTTGTACTCGAACTGTAAACAATGCAAATTTCAATGTCAGAATAACTAATAAGTCTCTCTGCAAAACTCCTAAGAAACAATGATAATACTACATGTATATGTAAACAACAGTTTGTGCTTTTATGGTCTATGTTCATTTGGATTTATCCTGTGTTATGTGAGGTGGTTGATAGTGACTGAGTGTGAGTATGAATGTAAGTGTGAGTGTGTACATGAGTATGTACTTGCATGGAAGCTTGGTGTTTACACATAAATTATTCTTATAAAACTGGTAAACGGATCTTTCAAACAAATGGCAGTCTACAGCTGTGTTTTAAATAGCACATAACCAATATCTATATAATATCTTCTAGGTATGAAAGCAGATTCGAACTGCACTGATCCAATCCTATTCATAAGGTACATACATCCTACCTCATAGGATATAATAAAGGCAAGGGGAAGTAAATATTTAACGAATATTCAACAACTGCAATTGCTATTTGGTGCCTTTCCCCAAATCTTTCCAATTCATTTTTTGAAAATAATAATAAAAAAAAATCACTTGTGTCTTCCTTTAACTGATACTGTCAAGGTGTAGCAAGTTCCTGTAGAGCATCCAATATTTAAATGCTGACAGAGAGCTTTTCAACAAAGAGATGATTATGGTCCCTCTTAGGTTCTGGCACCTACTGCTGCGTAGTTTGAGGCTAGGTTTTATTACGGTAGTTTATAAGAAAAATATCATCTTAATTTATTTTGTGCCTTAAGAGGGAGGTATCTTAGAACTTATGGATAGGGCTTGGTGTCAAAAATAAAAGAGAAAAAAAAGTCATACTCACAAAACAGCATCATTTGTGCAATGCTCCCAAAGGACTCGAGTGTATGATCTTGCCTTATTCTGAGTCTTTGTCAAACATTACAAATGACTGTAATAAAATGGCTACATTATGAGGTCAATGAATAATGTATTCATATTAAATAAAATGAAAATAGAGATGAAAAAATAATTTTTCAGGAGCACTATGGAATCAAGGCAAATGCACCTCCATACCAAAATATCTATTTTCTAACTTACACTAACTAGACTAGATGTCTTTTAAATGTGGGGAAAACTTCCCTTATTTTTTTATTCTCTTTGTAATCACGTAGAAAAGGTAAGCTATAAAGCAGCATGTGAAGAAGTACCAATAATATAATAAATGAAAGACACCACAGATAAATTACTTATGAAAATCATTCTGTACATGAAAGGTGACCCCTTCTGTGGGCCAATTTTTCCCTTTTTTAGAAAACTAGCTATACACTGTACATAAGCAGTTGTCTGGGTAAGCAGCACAAAGTTGCCCTTAAGCTTAAAACACAGGCTTGTAGCAGCAGCGGCAGGAGACATTTCCTTTATGCACAGACTGGCTACTGTCAACACTGGTTTACAGGGCAGCGCACCTAACAAAATTTTACTGCTTAGTGAAGTCCAGGACGAATGCATCACTTACGGCTAACAATGTCTTTCATTAGAATACAATAAATGCATTGATGTGTTTTCAATGTTGAGTCTAAATCTCAGACCAGTAATATGCATTACTTCAATTCACACTTTTTATGTGAGAGCACTAATGACCATTTCAGCTGCTTTTGCCATCTGATGCTTTTGGAGTACTAAATCCTTATACTTGCTAATAGGTTCAGCTTTTCTAAGGTGAAGCCGATGCTTACAAAAAGTGTTATATGAATATAATGTGCACTTGTTCAACACTTGGTAACACACTTCTTGAACAGAACAGAACTTCTTCAAGGCATTTCACGTTTATTAGACAGAGCGCAAGATCTTTGAACAGACCTAACTGGCAGTCCAAATAACTCAAACTGGAGGGATCTCTGTTGCCTGTGGTGCATCTTCCATCCCTTCTGGAGGGACTCTGACTGTACCATTGCCTGTTAACGTTGCATGTCCATTGGAGGGCACTTGGCCGTTCGCACACGTACTGGGGGGCGTGCTGATGGCAGGGAGAGTTGCAGCTGAAGGTGTCTGGGGTGGAGAGGTCAGAGGGACTGGGGAGGGGGCACTGGGCATTGCAGGTGCCGCAGTCACTGTTGTGATGGGAGGCATGGTGATCACCGGGTCATGGAGCCCAGCCATGTCATTGCTGCTTCCACTGTGGCTTCCTTCACTGGCTGTGTAGGATTCCATCGCCCGGTAGATGAACAGGAGGTCATCCTGCGAAGGCAGAAAAGAATGAGAAAACCTGTCTGAGGTTCTTTTATAAAACATTTGCCTTTCTGTCAAAAAATAAAGACACTACCTCCTCTTTGTGAGTCTGTCACTTACATTCATTAAGAAAATCTAGAGTATACAAAAGTCACCAATATAACCATTGTCTTCAAACAAACTTCATTAACACCATCATACAACACTTCACCTCTCAAACAGAGAACATCCAATACATAATTCTTAAAGAACAATTAACACCCACACTACACACAAACAAATATGTAAATAGACAAAAGAAAACAAAAGAAAAAAGTAACTTACCTGACTTGTCCAGATACTTGGCCTTCTGTTGTGGTAAAGCTTAGCAAACATGTAAGGGTCCAAGTGCTGCTCGAAGTCAACCTGGTTCTTCAGGGCAGTTAGACAGCAGAAAGTGGCTCCCTCCGTCCCTCCAAACCTGTAAGAGATTAATAGAAAATTGCTTAGACTCCAAAGGTGATAGCAAATATGGGATGATTTCATGACTGACACAAGTAAGAGAAGGTAGGTGATGATAATGAAAATAATGGAGGAGGAGTAGGAGGGGGAGGAGGAGGAAGAAGAGGAGGAAAGAGGAGGAGGAGAAGGAGGAAGAGGAGGAAGAGGAGGAGGAGGAGGAGGAGGAAGAAGAGGAGAAGGATTAGGATTAGGATGAGAATGAGGAGGAGGAGGAAGAGAAGGATTAGGAGGAGGAAGAGGAGGAGGAAAGAGGAGTAGGAGGAGGAGGAGGAAAAGGAGAAGGAAGAGGAGGATTAGGAGGATGAAAAGGATTAGGATTAGGATTAGGATTAGGAGGAGGAGGAGGAAAAGAAGAAGAAGAAGAAGAAGAAGAAGAAGAAGAGATGATGGAAGAGGAGGAGGAGGAGGAGGAGGAGGAGGAGGAGGAGGAGGAGGAGGAGACTTCAATACTCACCGATCAACAACTATTAAAGGTCCATTCTGGTAGTTAGTATGGGCCTCAGACACTAAGGAGACAAGGCTGAGAGTAGTAGTGAGAGCTGGCAGCGTGTGGGGCCAGCCAGGAGCGTGAATTAATCTGACCGGTAACTCGTAGTCATCTTGCAAACTCTGGACTGCTACATCGACAGTCACCAACCCAGCATTCAATTTCTCTTCCAAATAACGCACCTGGCAAAAAAAATTAAGATTAAATACATATAAATCTGCTTCAAAGTAGACTGAATATCCAAGTGAAACCATTGCATATCTAAAGGCCATAAATCTAATCACTCTTTCTGCTCATCTTTCTCCTATATCTTTCCAAAAGCACCAAACCCTACCTTCCAATGCTCAGAGTCAAAGTCGTCATGCTGCGCTGGCCAGAACTGCGGATAGCTCTGAGTCTCGTCCACAGCCGTCAAAACCACTATTGTCTGCGCGTTGTGGTCCCAAACCATCTGCCAGAAATCGAGGATGGAGGCTGGCATAGGGTGCTGCGTCAGGATGAATTCTCGTAGTCTCTGGTGGCCCATCAGCCAGGTTGCGTTGATGTAGTCTGAGCCTTCCACACCTGGCTTGGGGGTCAGGTGCACACGGCCATTCTCCATGGGCAGGTGGTCGGTGCTGCGGTTCTTCTCTCTGTTGACTGGCTTGACTGCACTGACAACATTGAAATCTCTTGGCTGGAAATGTGTAACCAGCTGAAAAGCAGAGGAAGTTCATTAGTATTACATAAAAAATCTACATATTAAAGGTTTTTGATCAATGCAATGAGTTACAAAAATATTTATTGTTTACATGCTAAATTCTTTCAAATAACTAGATTGAAAGCTCTAAAAAAAATTAATTTCAACTCTCTAAAACTATTAGTTACACCCTAATAACACCAAATGTCAGCAAATACCGATATCAATACTATGAACCATCATCATACCACCTCAACTCTCAGGAGTGTATATCTACATACCTTGAACTGGTGTGAGAGAAGATACCAAGGCTGGGGCTTCTCCTGTGATCCTCCAGGCGCCTGCAACATCCTGATATATCTGCTGAGCCCAGCCCGAGGGATGTTGGTGTCTCCGCTCTGGATGGCTTCCAGCAGAGCATCGTGAATGAATATATACTGCTCCTCCGTCTGATGATAAAAATAATTTCCAAATTAAAAAGGCAAAGAAACTGAGAAACGTCAAAATCCCATTAAGAACTATATTACTCCTACTCTTCAGGGATATACAAAACCAATGCTAGAAAAAAAGAAGAAAAAACACTTCAGACTTGAAAGTTTGTATATTCTTGAGCCACGAACCTGTACAAGGAAGTTGCGTTGTGTGCGAATGTGTTTCAGGAATCCCCAAATATTGAGGCGTCCCTTGGCACGAATCTGCTGCAACATGGCATCCAAGACAATGTATGTGCCAGTCCTTCCCACTCCAGCACTGGAATATGAAGACAAGAAAAGATTATAATACATTCAGTACCAACACCTATCTGGACTCACATCAGACATTATGCTGTATACACTTACATGCAATACCACATAACTCCACATATGTATGTGAAAAAAAGAAAAAAAAAGGAGGAGGAGCAGAGATGAGAGAGAGAGAGAGAGAGAGAGAGAGAGAGAGAGAGAGAGAGAGAGAGAGAGAGAGAGAGAGAGAGAGAGAGAGAGAGAATGAGAGAGAGAGAGAGAGAGAGAGAGAGAGAGAGAGAGAGAGAGAGAGAGAGAGAGAGAGAGAGAGAGAGAGAATGAGAGAGAGAGAGAATGAGAGAGAGAGAGAATGAGAGAGAGAGAGAATGAGAGAGAGAGAGAATGAGAGAGAGAATGAGAGAGAGAGAGAATGAGAGAGAGAGAGAATGAGAGAGAGAGAGAATGAGAGAGAGAGAGAATGAGAGAGAGAGAGAATGAGAGAGAGAGAGAATGAGAGAGAGAGAGAGAGAATGAGAGAGAGAGAGAGAGAATGAGAGAGAGAGAGAGAATGAGAGAGAGAGAGAGAATGAGAGAGAGAGAGAGAATGAGAGAGAGAGAGAATGAGAGAGAGAGAGAATGAGACAGAGAATGAGAGACAGAGAGAGAGAGAGAGAGAGAGAGAGAGAGAGAGAGAGAGAGAGAGAGAGAGAGAGAGAGAGAGAGAGAGAGAGAGAGAGAGAGAGAGAGAGAGGAGGGAGGGAGGGAGGGAGGGAGGAGGGAGGGAGAGAGAGAGAGAGAGAGAGAGAGAGAGAGTTATATTGCAAAAGAGAAGAGAGAAGATATATTGTGAGAGAGAGAAAGGAGAAACACAAGGAGAATATAATAATGAAATGTGGGAAAGAGAAACAGACAGAAGAAGGCACAGAAAACAATCAAAATGAAGTGCACAAAAAAAAAATAAAAAAAAAAAAACATTACATTCTGCAAGCACCTGTTGCCAGCTTCTAAATGAATGAACAAAGCACATTAACTAAAAGCAGCTAAAACATTCTCCCTGCCACACACATTTCCCTAGGTAGTTTATAATATTTAAAGCTGATCACTTATCTCTCATTTCAATAACAATTACCCTTTTCCTTAGCTAATATTAATATATTATTCTCTCTCTATGTATTTTTCCATTTTCGTAGGGTTTCTGATTGCACTGAAGAAATTTAAATGTTACTTCTACGATATCAGCTTTGTTGCTTATAGAAAGTAAATTCTCAATATTTGTCATGTTTATTGATATATTGGTATGTGCAATGTCTCTACATTAACAAAATTAAAAAGAGGAAAAATCTCTTCACTTCAAAGTCTATTTCAGATGGGAATATTCTTAGTTAATAATAATAATAATAAAAAAAGGGCACCCATTAGAAAATTATACCTTCATGTCATATAACTTAAAACATTTAAGGATTTACATCTCCGAAGCTATAAAAAAGCAAATGGTTTGCCAAAAAATATTTTTCAAAATATTGAACTTTGTGGTATTGATGTCATAGCTGTTCACATGTCGTAAATTAACTTGTAGTTTGATATGTTATGCAAATCTGCCTCCAGAATCAAGCTGGCTCAAATAAATATAAAGCTTTATATTGCTTGTGAATCTGGCATCTATCTTATAATATCTGCCACTTATTACACTCAAGGTCTACTAATAATTTATGACTAATATAATTCCATACATTTTTTATTATATCCACATCTACTGTACACATCTTGCAAAACACACACACAAAAATATTAATGTCAATATATATATAACTGTAAGTTATGTGGTAAAAAACATTACCTTTCTTCTATATTGTTATTTCTAACAACCTTTTCTTTTCAATGATTAGAGAGCCACTACAACTTGCAATATGCAAAATTTGGAATTGACATATGAGGACTTTTGCATCAATAGATGTTCTCAGACTAATTGCCCAAAAATGTTTAGGTTTTGTTAATCTTTCCTTTCATCTGTAAAAAAAGCATCAATATGTTCATGTTTATATATTACAACCATGAGATTGCAGTGTATGAATCTGAACATATCAATGCTTTAGTTATAGATGAAATCTAAACTTCATAAAATTTAATAAACCTTTGGATGCACATGCCCTCGTTATTATTAACAAAAGAGGTTGCAGGAAAAAGATGTGCAAATGGTAAGTAGTATGCCCTTAACTAGTATATTCTGGAGAAGAGGATGATAATATTAGATTTTATTCCTAGATGATGGAGGCGGCCATTGCAAGTTGGGACTTATTTGGGGTCATGCTCTGTTCATCTAAACTCAAAGTTAAACCTATAATTCTATTACAAAACATTAACTTTATTTACTTTTATCTTTTGTGTCTACATAATCATTAGAATGGTCATTCCTTTGTTTCTATATCTGATCAACCTATGCTTCCGAGTTGGTTAAAATAGCAAAAGGTTTAAACTCCTGAGTGCATGTAAACATGACAGTGCATGGCACATCCAGGCAACTGGTACACTTATTTTCAATCCAAATATAACTTTGATTGGATTGAGATAATACCACTGAGATAAGTGAGACATGAACACCATGCACGGGCAATGAGGTAATATTTTTGGTATTATTGTTACCATCAGAACACTTATGTCTACACTCAAAATCAAATTCATATCTTGTGACTTTGTTAAATTAATAACAAATGACCTTGAGCTATATGAACACATAAATTTGCTACAAAAAACACAGTAAGTCCCTTGGCATAAATGAAGCCAAGGAGACATCAGGATTTTGCCACATCTGGATTTCCATATTATTCACTGTTCTTTAGTCTGCCACAGACATGAAAGCATCCTACAGGGACAAGAAACATCAGCCTGAATACAACAGGAAACAAAATACAACATTCTTGGACTGTTAGTATCAACTCCAATGCAACAGATATCCCAACCAAACATACCTGCAGTGGACTATAATGGGTCCAGCATCCTCTGGATTTGCCGCAGCAGACTTTCGGACAAAGGAGAGTACAGGCAGTGGATGGTCGGGCGTGCCGTGATCTGGCCAGTTGGTGTAGTGGTATTGGTAGACTATGCGCTCTCCACTGCCAGACTTCTTGCATTTCACCTGCACAGATTGGCAATTATGCTGGATAAGTCTAACAACTTCCCATCAACTTATTAATTAAAGCAGTCTTAATGAGCATATAAATGTTGCACAAAGGATAGTGAATGCATGTAACAATACTCTTTTAAATGTAACTAAGTTCAGCCAGAAAGAACTTGTTAAATGAGAATGATCTAAACTCAGTATGAAAGAATACACTGAATTAATAACAACAAACAGTAACAATAGTAATGAGAATAAGACAAGAAACCATCAAGAGAGAAATAATCACAATAACTAATACTCACAATAATAATATTTACCTGTACTAGCAACTTTTCTGACACTAAGAACAATAATGAAAATCCAAATCCTTACCTTCATGTGTCTAATAGCTAATTTTCTGATGGTGTAAGTTGCCAGAACTTCTTCATGAACGAGACGCACTTGAATCAGGCCATAAATTTCATTTCCTTCCTTGGGCCAGTACTGGTCGCACTTTTTCTGCAACATCGAGGGAAAGACATTGAGCACAGTGCAAAATGGGGCAAGAAGTTTTGTCTTGTGGTTGGCTGCTCTTGTAAATGATGTATTTATTTAGAAATATTTATGATGTCAAACATACAGACTTTTTTTTTTTCTTTCTTTTTTTTTTTTTTTGAAAATCCAGACACTATTACTAGCTAACCCATTTGCCTTCAGCATCAAGAGGGGAAAGACAGTCTATATATGAGGTTTACAAACAAGGAACCATTTCTTTTAACATGCAACATTTAATATAACCATCCACAAGGGCAAAACTCCTACAAAATAGAGAAATGTTTTCGTTTTGGAAGCCTAGGCCGAAACCCAGACGTCAGAGTCACTCGCTAGATCTACAGCACAACTAAAAAATACTAAAAGGCTAGTTTTTTGTGTCAACCCCACTTGGCCACAGCTTCATGGAGCCTTCTGTCTGCCGGACTCGTCACTAACAAAATAGATACACACTTTAAGAAAATAGGCTGAAGCCATTAATGATGAGGACTACTGGAATTAAGGTTTCTTTCTTTTTTTTAACACATCCAAAGTTTTGAAAAAGGACCATTCATGGTGATCATACTTACTCCATGAATATCATTTAGTATATCCAACAGTGAAGAGGCTTTCATAAAGAAAGTAAAGTTCACTACAACATTTAACTTATTTATGTGAAAATATTTGTGTGTGTGTGCACATGTGTGTGTCTGTGTAAGTCAGTGCGTATGTGTATGTATGTATATATATATGTATTTATACATGTAGGTACATGTATGTATATGTATTGTAAATATCTATATGAATGTATATATGTACATACATATAATATACATATATACATATATACATACATATATATATGTTTATTTTTTTCTTTTCTTTACTTTTCTCAATATCAAACACAGAGAAAGGGCAACACGAGGGTTAAGTGAAAGCCCACATTACAGCAGAGACAAGGAAGGGCTTTGACCAAGTGGGTTGTGAGCAGTAGCAAGCAAGGGGTCGGTTGTGTACAGATGGCATGCCAAGCGAATTTCTCCCTTGTGCACACCTAGCATAAAGAAGTTTTGCACTGTGTATTATACAATACCTCTAGGCATTGGGTAGCTAGCTTTGGCTGTTTTTTTACAGTTTCCTATGAAAGGCAGAAAAGGAAAGAAAATAAATATTACCTTTCAGCCCAAAATGGATGTGGATAATAAGCTGAAAAGATTAGGTTGACAAATCTGCTAAAACAACAGATATAATGGTAAAAAGAAACACCTCATTGGTATACAAAATGTGTGTTTCTGTTCTGTTGAAACCTTGAAATGTATAGGCCTCCATTTCAATATAGGGCACTAATATTAGCTCTAATTATGTCTTTTATATCAAGACTTTTTCTCCTATGATTATGAAGTTTTTGTTAGCATAATGAGGCGCAAGCTAAGAGGTGTTAGACAGCATAAATACTCGTTTAGTATGATAAAGAATTCAACATGTCTTCTAAGGGGGTTAGAAAAACAAACAAATAAATAAAATATATATAAAAAAAATAAAATCAATTGCAAAACATCACAGAGTTTTGGGCACAAACCATTCTTTAAGAGTTACTACGGTAAATCATAAATAAAGATATAAAATTCCTTACATTAGCTGTATAATACAGAATTAATATGAAGTATATGCTCTATTTGTGCTCAAACACTTTTGACTAAGAGCTAGGAGAACATAGATGCTAAAGATCAAAATACACAAAGAAAATATCTACTTACACGCCCCCTTTCCACAAGGTTGGTGATCATGACGATGATGTGGACTCGCTGCTCCCACACCATGCGCCAAAAGGTGTCGAAGGTGGAGGGCAGTGGGCCTTGGGTGCCAATGTAGGCCCGGGGCTTGTCATAGCCGTCAATGTAGTTGGCATTCACGTATTCCATGGCCTTCTTCTGTCCGGGGAGGGGGCGCAGGGGAACCCTTGTGTGGTCGTCTGCAAGAAAGAACACAAGATAGTTGTACTCCCTTCAAATTAATGACCATTCAGTGAGGAACAATAATCTATACTTCAGTAATTTTCTGTCCAAAAGAGAGGAACTAAGATATAAATCTCATGGAAAATACAAAAAAGATAATAGAAAAAACAAAGGGGAGGAAATGCTCACATGCTACAATGTTGAGATATCGATTCTTTTGCTTGTTGTCCGGGTGCTGTGAGTGCTCAGCTGGGTGGTGTTCCTGGGCTGAGGCTGCCTGGATGGCCTCATACTCCTTTGAGAATGCAATGTCGCCATCGGCATGCAGCTCCGCAATGTGCTGTAAAAGATAAGAATCATTATAGCCAAATCATTACAAAAAGTGAGTGATTTCCAAATACAATCAGGAAGATCATTTTCATTACCATTATTACATCAGCAATAGTCTCATTGTGAAATGTTCTCACCTTGGCAAAGTCATGCACATCAATTGGCCCATAGGCCCCATCACCCCCTGTGTCATTCTCCCAGTCATGCATAAGCACTGGGGGAGCCTTGGGGGGATCATCCAGGTAATAATAAGCACCTTGGAAGAAGCGCCTGAAGAAAAGAAAAGCAGCATGAGTCTCATTCCCTTTTTAATGTGTCATGGTTTTCACAATAAGTATTATGAAAATTATGTGAAGACCAAATCCCCATTCATAAAATTCTGTCTCACTGCAACCTGAATGGCAAAAGAAAGGTCACTGGAGTATTGTCCAGGACGGCATGAATGGCACTTTTTTTCTGGTACCATTTCTTTAACAATGCCAATGCACAAGTGTCCCATTGATGAAGGAAAAATAACACCACAGTAACAGTAATGGTGAACAGACACTGCCAATGACAAAAAAACAAAAAACAAAAAATCAATCCATAATAATAATAATAATAATAATAACAACAATAATAAAATAATGACTCACCTCCAGATGATCATAGCAACCACCAACAGGAAGATGGCGAAGGTGGCACAGATGATACCCGCAATGATGCCTGCGCTCATCTCCAGGCCCGTGCGACTGACATCTGGCGGAGGGGCATTGTGGCAGTCTGGATACAGGAGGATCTTTCGAGGCTGCGAGAACGGGCCCTTGTAGGTCTTGTTATTATCGGCAAAGAGGCGTGAGTATGTGCCCCCTCGGACCTTCACCTCATACATGGTGTTGTAGGTCAGGTTGGTCAGGAGGAACTGCGGGGGAGAGAGAAGAAAGGTTTATTAAATGCTACAGTTACTGCAATTACTAATATAACAGTACTTCTACTGATGTTGTTATCATTAAATGTTACAGTTATTGCAGTTACTAATATAAAAGAACTTCTACTGATGTTGTTATCATTATGAATACCATCATCTTCAATTTACAATTACTCTTAACATCATCCAAACCAGTGGCATTAACCTCATTACATCATAACAATCTTTCCAATCAATACCATCAACACTATCATATAAATCCTTCCTATCCTTAAAAGTAAAAGCCAAAACCCTTATTCTCACTGCAGCTACATTTACCCCCATTCACAAACCCAACAGAATGCGAGTAATATAAAACACACACCCATCATTATCAAGCTCAAGGTGAACATCCACATATCTTTCGAACGTAAATGCAAACATCATGAGGAGACTATTACGTTCAAACCACAGCTTATTTAAAACTATTGTAATACACACACACAGGAGCATTAGGTTTGCTCAACACGCATAATTCAAGCAAATGTTACACAAGAGAAGATAAATAATATATAATGTACAATATCTAAGGAGCTTTGGATCTGGTAAAGGGGGGAGGGGGGAGGAGACAGGGATGGAGGGAGGAAGAGACAAGAATGAGAGAGACAGATATGATAAATAGATAAATGGACAGACAGACAGAGAAGAAGATGTAGATAGAAAGATAAATAAACAGGCAGAGGTATGTAATAAGAGGAGGGGAGGTGCGCATAATATCAAGACACGGACTTCTTTCCCTGAGCGGTAGCAAAAGCCCCGCCAAACAGCCAACAGGAAGTGGATAGCCTTCATTTCCCTCCTCCAGCTCCTCCTCCTCCTGCTCTTCTGACTCTTCATCCTCAAACCTATTTTACTTCTATCTCATTCCTCTCCCCCTCCTTCTTATATTCATTCCATTTGTTCTCTCCTTTCTATTTACTTCCTACTTCTCCTCCATTTCCTTGCCTTTCCTACTCCTTTTTCCCTTTCCTCCTCCTCCCTCTTCTTCTTCATCTCCTCCTCCTCCTCACCTTCCCTCCTCCTTCTCCTCATCTTCCCCCCTTCCTTCTCCTCTTCTTCCTCCTCCTCCTCCTCCTCCTCCTTTTCACCTTCCTTCCTCCTCCTCCTCCTTGCCTTCCCTCCTCCTCCTCCTCCTCCTCCTCCTCCTCCCCCCTCCTCCTCCTCGCTTTCCCCTCTCCTCCTCCTCCCACCCTTCCTCCTCCTCGCCTTCCCCCTCCCTTCTCCTCCCCCTCCTCCTCGCCTTTCCACCTCCTCTCCTCCTCCTCCTCCTCCTCCTTGCCTTCCCTCCTCCTCCTCCTCCTCCTCCACCTCCTCCTCGCTTCCCCCCCCCCTCCTCCTCCTCCTCCCTCCCTGTCCTCCTCCCACCCTTCCTTCCTCCTCCTCGCCTTTCCACCTCCTCTCCTCCTCCTTCCCCTCTACGCGCACACGTCCATAACCCCACGTGTATGGTAACATAACGTCAACCTTACGACTTTAAAACGTGTCCTTGTTGCTACCTGGGCGCCGCTCCTCCCGGCCATGAGATGAGAGGGGGGAGCAGGGGAACGAGAGAGGAGAGAGGAGAGAGGAAAGGATGAGATTAAGGGGGGATGGGAGAGGAAAGCGGAAAAAGGAAAGAGAGGAGGAGGATAGGAGGAAGGAGGATATGAGGGAGGAGGATAGGAGGGAGGAGGAGGGGGATAGGAGAGGATAGAGGAAAGGAAAGGAGGGTAGGGAGGGGAGGGGGGAGGGGGGAGGGTCAGAGGACGAAAGGAGCGAGGGTAGCGAGGGAGTAAAGGAGGGGGGGAGGGGGTCCATTTCCAATCATTCTACCGAGAGGGTTTCTTCTCCCACGTTCGCCTCCCCCCTCCCCCCCCCACCACCACCACCATCTCACCCCCAACCCCGCATCTTCCCCTCACTCTTTCCTACAATCTTTTCAACTGAGGGTAAGAGGGGAAGGAAAAGGGTACAAGACAAAATTATTCCCTTCACTCCCCCCTCCCCCCCATTTCAATCGATTCCATGCGAGAGGTGGCAATAACAACAGCAATAATAGTAATAATAACAATAGCAACCAGAATAATAACTGAAAGTATATATATAGTGAGTATATGTTGTTGTTTTTTTCCGTTGCAGATACGCACATAAAGGCATTCCCAACGCATTAAACCAAAATAACAAAACCCCTTTAACCTAACAGGAGGGGAAAAAAAAAATCGACCTCACCGACAAGGCTACCTCTCGAAAATAATGGACGCTGCGGAAGAACTGAAAACCCATAACTACCGCGAGAGAGAAGAGGAGAGATGAAAAAAGAGGAAACAACAATAATAACAGAACGAGAACGCAAAAAAAAAGACAAAGGGCGCATTGCTAAACAAAAGGCGTAGTCTCGGCGACACCTTCCCCGGGCCCGCAACTCCACGCACCGCCTCCGCCTCTTTGACACACCCTCCTTCCCCCCCCCCCCCCTTCATTTTGGGCCCCCGGGCGCTCTACCTTCCTGTATCTCTTTCTTTCTTAACACTCTACGTCGGTTTCTTGTATCTCTTTTTTTTTCCTTTTCTTTTCTCTTTCAGTTCTCTTCTTTTATTTCTTCGTTATTTGCGTCTTGTTCTCCTCTTCCATTTCCTTTCCCTTCCTCTTCATCATCCATCCATCCCGCACCGTTCAATATCCTTTCCCCACCTTCTTAATCAGCATAATAGCAATTCTCACACCATAACGCCCTTTCTCCTCTCGTCTCCTCTTCCCTCCTCTCTTCTAACCCCTTCTCCTCTCCTTTCCTCTCCTCTCCCCTCCACTCTCTCGCTCGTTTATTTTTTTCACATCTCTCTCCCTCCCTATCTTCTGCCTCTCCCTCTCACTCTCCAGTCCCTCCCCCCCCCTCTCCTTCAACCCCCATCGCCACTTCCTACCCGAGTACCCGCGCGCAACTCCGTCCGGCCTTTTAAAAATGGCCGTTTTCCCAGACGCGCACACGACGTCCCCGCAGGCGCCCGCGGTACTTACTCCGGCGCACCAATTAGAAAGTGAATCGGAACTGGACCCTCAGATGCTGTTGCTGTTTGGGATAAGGTGGAGGGCGGAGGGATGGGAATGGAGATGGAAATGGAGGAGGAGGGAGAGGAGGAGGAAATGGAGGAAGATGGAGAGGAGGAGGAAATGGAGGAGGAGGAAATGGAGGAGGAGGGAGAGGAGGAGGAAATGGAGGAGGAGGGAGAGGAGGAAGAAGAAATGGGGGAGGGAGATGAGGAAGAAGAAGGGAATAACTGAAGAAATGGAGAAAGAGGATGTGGGTTGAAAGGGGAGAAGAATGGGGAAGAGGAGGAATAGGAGATGGATGATGATGAAGATTCCAATAGCAACAACATGGGAGAGATGTCAACAAGAAAACCCTTAACTGTTTTCCTTTTTTCCCCACCAATTGCAATCAACAGACGAACGCTGACCGGGCGGGAGCGAGACCCAACCAAAAAAACGCCACGTCACGACAACACCTCACTGACTGTCTCGCTGACTGACGAAGGCCAGTTAAGGGCGGCCCAGTCACCAAGTCCTCATTTCTTGCCCTTTTCCCCTCCTTTCTTGCTCACTCCTGCCCCTTCCCTCCCCTTCGACCTGCGAGTGGGCGAGAAGCGCGAGAGACCCCGGCCGAGAATCCTCATCTCGCGAGAGGAGAGAGAGGGACCTTGTCACTCCCGGGGTGGAGGGGGGAGGCCATCGGGAGATTTCTTCGGGAGGGAGGGAGGGAGGGAGGGAGGGAGGGAGGAAGGGAGGGAGGAGGGAAGGATAGAGGGAGGAAGGGTTTTTCGGGGGTGGGGGGGGGGGTAGGTCCTTCGAAAGGGAAGGAGGTGAAAGAAAAGGAACCGAGAGGAGAGAACAAATAAAGAGAAAGAAAAACAAGGAAAAAGATAAAAAAAATGATAAGAAAAGGAAGAGGAAAGAAGGTGAAAAAAATAGGACGAAAAACAAGTGACGACGGAAAGAGGGGAGGGGAAGGAAAAAGGGCGCATGTTGTCACAGGTGGCAATACTAAGGTCCTTCGAGAGGGAAGGAGGTGAAAGAAAAGGAACCGAGAGGAGAGAACAAATAAAGAGAAAGAAAAACAAGGAAAAAGATAAAAAATGATAAGAAAACGAAGAGAAAAGAAGGTGAAAAAATAGGACGAAAAACCAAGTGACGACGGAAAGAGGGGAGGGGAAGGAAAAAGGGCGCATGTTGTCGCAGGTGGCAATACTAAGGGGGAAGGGGGAGGAGGGGGAGGAAGGAGGGTATTAACGACAAATGTGGGGACGAAAGGCGGGGAAAGGACAAGAAATGAGGAAATGAGACAAGGGCGAGAAATGAACGAAGTGTACTCAGAAACATGTGGCGCAAAATAACAAGCAAGGAAAGTGGTCTAGTTAGGTCTGTCTTGTGTTCAAAGTTTTTAATAACAGGAGCGAGGGAAGGGGAGAGGGAGGGGGAGGGGAGAATGAAGACGACGAGGAGGAGGAGGAAGAGGAGGAGTAAGGATCGGAGGAGGAGGATGCGAAGGAGACGGAGGAGGAAGAGGGAGTCCTAAAAACAAATCAGACGATACAACTGATACAAAGGCTTGTAAGAATAATCATGAACACACACACACACACATACAAAAAAACTAAACATCAAGTCATAAAATAAAATAAAAAATAACAAAAAAGGAGGCGGAACAGGTGGGGCGAGAACTGGCGGGGGCGGCCGGCAGCTGGAAGGAGGGAGGAGGGAGAGGAAAAGAGAGATGGGTAGGAGGAAGAGAGAAAGAAGGGGGGGAGGGTATGTGTGGGATGGCACGAGAGAAAAGATAGAGAGGAGGGAGGAAGGCGGGGGGGGGGGGGGAAGAAAGTGAGGGAGGAAAAGAGAGGGAAGGAATAAGGAGGTGCGGGAAGAGGAGGAGGAGGAGGAGGAGGAGGAGGAGGAAGAGGTGGGGGGTGAGGGGGATTAAGGGG